GGAGCCATCTCAAATTGTCTTTCCTTTTCCAGATTGGAGTTTCTTTGTGCAATTGTCATCTTTGTTTTGTGTATGTTTCTTCATGGTTGCGAAAATTCTGGTGAATGTTTTGTGTGGATTGTGTTCTAGTTGTATTTATTGGATAATAAATATGAGCTTTAAATGCCACCAGACTCGTGTATCTAAACTTAACCAATACCAGCTCAAGATTTACTTCTTTCTCTGTGTATCCAACGTTCTTGCAGTTACATTTAAAGATTACTAGGTTTTTTTCTTGGATTAAAGATTTGTGGGGTTTTTCTTAGGATAGATTTCTTATCTCAATCTTAATTTTCTTCTTTTTTGTTTGTTCTGAGATGAGCAGTGACCGCTTTGGTGGCTGTAAAGAACGAATTGAATGATCCCTATAATGTTCTTGAGAATTGGGATGTGAATTCAGTTGATCCTTGTAGCTGGAGAATGGTCACTTGCACTGATGGCTATGTCTCTGCACTGTGAGTCTTTTCTTCTCTTCCATCTACTACACTAGGGAAAGGAAAAACCAGATAGATCTCTGAGACTTGTCTTTGTCTGGTTTATGAAACAGAGGACTTCCTAGCCAAAGCTTGTCTGGTACTTTGTCTCCTAGGATCGGAAACCTCACCTATCTACAATCTGTGTAAGTTTATATTGTCTTCTTTGCTATGTTTGATTCTTGTTTTTGTAGTTTTTTCGATTGTTCTTGTTGATGTTAAAGTTTGTGGTTTAGGTTGTTGCAAAACAATGCAATCTCTGGTCCAATTCCCGATACCATTGGAAGGTTGGAGAAGCTTCAGACACTTGATCTTTCGAATAATTCATTCACCGGGGAGATACCGACCTCACTTGGAGAACTCAAGAACTTGAATTACTTGTGAGTGCCTCTTTAGGGATTTCACATTGATTCTTTTGTGTCATGTTTATAAAATTCCAATTCAAGTCTCAGTGTTTTGTTCCCTTGTTCATTTTGGTTTTCAGGCGGTTAAACAATAACAGTCTTATAGGAACTTGCCCTGAGTCTCTATCGAAGATCGAGGGACTCACTCTAGTGTATGCCTCTAAACTCTGCTTTCGATTGTTCCACAGTTTAACAATATACATTTGGAGAAGATTTAGCAACTTCTTTGTTATTGATTCTTAACGTGCAGCGACATTTCGTATAACAATCTTAGTGGTTCGCTGCCAAAAGTGTCTGCCAGAACTTTCAAGTAAGCTTTACTAGACTTATCCAAGAACTTATCTCTCCATTGAAGCGAAACTAAGATTCACCATTGTATTTGTTTTGGTTTTTGGACTTAAGGGTAATCGGAAACGCGTTAATTTGTGGCCCAAAATCTGTTGCCAACTGTTCTGCTGTCTTCCCCGAGCCTCTTACGCTTCCACAAGATGTTCCATCAGGTATTAGCTGTCTGCCTCTCATGGGTCCCTATTCTACTTCTGCGTCAATGGACCTTATCGCTTACTTCTTTTGTTCTATTTTTATTTTTTGGTTTTAGATGAACCAGGAACTCATACCAATGGCCATCATGTAGCTCTTGCATTCGCAGCAAGCTTCAGCGCAGCGTTTTTCGTTATATTTACAAGCGGAATGTTTCTTTGGTGGAGATACCGGCGTAACAAACAAATATTTTTCGACGTCAATGGTTAGTATCTTTAATATCTCTATGCTTCGCATCATCTTATGCTCCAGAAAAACCAACAGTTCCATCTTGATGATGAGTAATTTGCAGAACAATATGATCCAGAGGTGAGTTTAGGACACTTGAAGAGGTTTACGTTCAAAGAGCTTAGATCTGCAACCAATCATTTCAACTCGAAGAACATTCTCGGTAGAGGCGGATATGGGATTGTGTACAAAGGGCATTTAAATGATGGATCTTTGGTGGCTGTCAAACGTCTCAAAGACTGTAACATTGCGGGTGGAGAAGTCCAGTTTCAGACAGAAGTAGAGACTATAAGCTTGGCTCTTCATCGCAATCTTCTTAGGCTTCGCGGTTTCTGTAGTAGCAACAACGAGAGAATCTTAGTCTACCCATACATGCCAAATGGGAGCGTCGCTTCACGCTTAAAAGGTAATGCAGTTTCCAGAACCAAATTCTTTTTTATTTCTTCACTCTTTTGCTAGATTTTTTATGGTTCGATCTTGGTACAATTTTTGTTAGATAATATCCGAGGAGAGCCAGCATTAGACTGGTCAAGAAGGAAGAAGATTGCAGTTGGTACAGCGAGAGGATTAGTGTATCTCCATGAGCAATGTGACCCAAAGATAATACACCGAGATGTGAAAGCAGCTAACATTCTATTGGATGAAGATTTTGAGGCAGTTGTAGGGGATTTCGGATTAGCCAAGCTTCTAGACCATAGGGATTCACACGTCACAACTGCTGTCCGTGGAACCGTAGGCCACATTGCACCTGAGTACTTATCCACTGGTCAGTCCTCGGAGAAGACCGATGTCTTTGGGTTTGGTATCCTACTCCTTGAGCTCATTACAGGCCAGAAAGCTCTTGATTTTGGCCGATCCTCACATCAGAAAGGCGTAATGCTCGATTGGGTAAGTCTCTTTTCTCTGTTTCTTGCTTCACTTCCGAGTATCTTGGAGGTATTTGGTCTGAGAAATGAGATTTTGTTGAAAATGGCAGGTGAAGAAGTTGCATCAAGAAGGGAAACTAAAGCAATTAATAGACAAAGATCTAAACGACAAGTTTGACAGAGTAGAGCTCGAAGAAATCGTTCAAGTTGCGCTTCTATGCACTCAATTCAATCCAACTCATCGACCCAAAATGTCTGAAGTTATGAAAATGCTTGAAGGTGATGGCTTGGCTGAGAGATGGGAAGCCGCACAGAACGGTGCGGGGGAAACGCTACCACCGCCGTTGCCGCGGGGAATGGTGAGCTCGTCGCCGCGAGTGAGGTATTACTCAGATTATATCCAAGAATCGTCTCTTGTCGTCGAAGCCATTGAGCTCTCCGGTCCTCGGTGATAAATGAAAATGAACCATTTTATAAAAAATCTTGG